TTTTTTTTTTTTTTTTGAGACAGAGCCTTGCTTGGTTGCCCAGGCTGGAGTGCAGTGGCAAGCTCAGCTCACTGCAACTTCTGCCTCCAGGGTTCAAGCAATTCTTGTGCCTTAGCCTCCTGAGTACCTGGGATTACAGGTGTACGCCACCATGCCAAGCCAATTTTTTTTTTCTTTTTGGTGGAGGCAGGGTTTCACCATGTTGGCTAGGCTTGTCTCAAACCCCTGGCCTCAAGCAATCCACCATCCTCAGCCTCCCAAAGTGCTGAGATTACAGGTGTGAGTCATTGCACATGGCCAGGCTCAACATTTTCATTGATCAGTACACTCAGATTAGGTCAAATTATCAGGAGGTAGGTTCACAATGACCAAGCTCCTAAAGCTGTTATGTAAACCAAAATGCCAGCTGATTAATTTATGAGAACAGTACCAAGAGACTGAACAGTCATATCCTCCAGTCAATTCATTTAAGTTGTGAAATAACTTGGGGGGAAATAGGAAGAAAATGGACAGGTATTCCTGAGACATTTTGGAGTGCCACAGAGCCTCTATATGGAAAAAATTGGACATTTTGTAACTAGCACGGAGTTCTGGGTATGGTAAGACACAGGGAATTAGAGGGAGAAGAACAAGCTAACTGGCTATGATGAGGAAATAAATACATCACAGGGACCACATATAACTTCATCAACACACATACACTTATGTTCCATTCTCAATGGTGTACATGAAACAAGGTCAAAATTTGGGAGGAAAAGAAGCAAATATGAAGCAAGCTCCTTGTTATTGAGAGTTTGGAGTTCTACTTCTAGGTGTCCAGGAAAAAAAAAATGTTTGGTGTCTTGTTCAATTGGAAATTCAGGAAATGACAGACAAAACAACCACCAAGGGGCTGGGCGTGGTGGCTCACGCCTGTAATCCCAGCACTTTGGGAGGCTGAGGCGGGCGGATCACAAGGTCAGGAGATCAAGACCATCCTGTAAATGATGAAACCCCGTCTCTACTAAAAAAAAAAAAATACAAAAAATTAATCAGGCGTAGTGGCGGGCACCTTTAGTCTCAGCTACTAGGGAGGCTGAGGCAGGAGAATGGCGTGAACCTGGGAGGCAGAGCTTGCAGTGAGCCGAGATAGCGCCACTGCACTCTAGCCTGTGCGACAGAGCGAGACTCTATCTCAAAACAAAACAAAACAAACAACAACAACAACAAAAAAACAACTGCCAAGGGGCCGGGCGCGGTGTCTTACGCCTGTAATCCCAGCACTTTGGGAGAATGAGGTGGGCAGATCACTTGACGTCAGGAGTTCAAGACCAGCCTGGCCAACATGAGACTCTGTCTAAAAAAAACAACCGCAACAACAAACCACTAAAACCACCAAGACCTATGAAAGGTTCACCAACCTTAGTAAAATAGAAATGAAAAGCATTTGAATATGCTCATCTGCTCAGTGGATTTAAGTGAATTTGAGAGCCCATCTCATAGAGCCCTTCTCAGAGTCTGTCTGGATCCCATACCTTTCCCTTTAAGGTATCAAAGGCTGCCTGAAAACCTCAAATGAGCAAATTCTGAAGCTGCCAATGAAGAGAGTCAATCCTTTTCCATTATTCTCAGCCTTCAGGCTCAAGTCCAGTAAAGATTAGGAAAGATTAGAATCAAGGAAATGAAAGGAATAGAAATTGACTTTGGCTTGATGCATATACGCTCTAGTATGTGAGCTCTGAATTAGGGACTAAGGCAGGATGCAGTGGCTCACACACCTGTAATCCCAGCACTTTGGGAGCCCGAGGAGGGAGGATCACTTGAACCCAGGAGTTTAATACCAGCCTGGGCAACATTGTGAGATCCTATCTCTACTAAAAATTTTAAAATTAGCTGAGTGTAACGGTGCTTGCCTATACCCCCAGCTACTCAGGACGGTGAGGCAGGAGGAACATTTGAGCCCAGAAGTTCAAGACTACAGCGAGCCGTGATTGCATCACTGCACTTCAGCCTGGGTGACACAGTGAGATTCTGTCTCATATAGATACATAATTAAATAAATAATAGACTAATTTGGAAGCTCTATTAATGACTTTGCAAAAAGGTCTAGTCTATTTGACCAACGGTGGCTAAGTGTACTGAGTGCTCGCCATGTGCTAGATGAGGATCTAAACTCTACACACTTCCACTCATTCAATCCTCACAACCCACGGGCCATGTGCTATTATGCTTGTCCTCATTTTTTTTTTTTTTTTTTTTTTTTTTCTGAGACAGAGTCTCACTCTGTGGCCCAGGCTGGAGTGCAGTGGCAGGATCTCAGCTTACTGCATATGCTTGTCCTCATTTTAAGATGAGGGCACTGCAGCACAAAAGGAAACTTGCCCAAGATTATGCTGTGTTAGGGCAGGGAATCAAAGCATAATCGTCTTGACTCTAAAGCTGTGCATACTCTTTTTTTGTAAAAAAAAAAAAAAAAAAATCACAAATTTACAGAAAAGTTGGAAGCATGAAACAAAGACTTCCCCTGACCTCCATTCATTTGAGAGTAAGTTAGCAACCTGATACCCTGTCTTCCCCAAATATCTTGGGGTGTATTTTCAACAAACAAGGACATTATCCTACAGAACCACAATATAACCATCAAAATTAGAAAAATGGGCCAGGTGCAGTGGCTCACGCCTGTAACCCTAGCACTTTGGGAGGCTGAGGTGGGCAGATCACCTGAGGTGAGGGTTTGAGACAAGCCTGGCCAAAACAGTGAAACCCCATCTCTACTAAAAATACAAAAATTAGCTGGGCATGGTGGCACGTGCCTATAATCCCAGCTACCCAGGAGGCTGAGGCAAGAGAATCTCTTGAACCCGGGAGGTGGAGGCTGCAGTGAGCCAAGATAGCACCACTGCACTCCAGCCTGGGCAACAGAGTGAGACTCCCATCTCAAAAAATTTTTTTTTCAATGAACATTAATACATTACATTATCTAATCTGCAGACCCCGTTCAATGTTTGCCAGCTGTCCCAAGGATGCCTTTCATAGCAAAAGAATTTTCTTCACAATCATACATTGCATTTAGTTGTCATGTCTCTAGTCTTTGTCAGTCTGAGATGTTTCTTCAGTCTTTTCTTGATTTTCATGATTCTCACACTATAAAGGATTGTTAGCCAGCTATTTGGTAGACAATGTCTCCATTTGGGTTTGATGTTTCTTCACATATAGACTCAGGTTAGCATCTTTGGCAGGAATGTCACAGACGCGAGGTTGCATTCTTCTCATTGTGTCCTATCAGGGGGTGTATATTTCAGTTGTTTTCATTTCTAATGGTGTTACTTGGATCACTAAATGAAGGTTGTGTTGACCAGTTTTCCCGTTGTTTCCCTCTTTGTAATTAATAAGTGTCTTATGGGGAAGAGCTTTGAAATTATGTAAATATCCTGCTACTAATTAAACTCAATTTATTCATTTATTTGGTTCTATCTTATGCAATTAAAGTTTTCTGTTTTATTCAATGGTTTATAACAAGGGTCTCCAACCACCAGGCCACAGAAAGAGAAATACATATATGCGTATATATATGTATATACATATATCTGACATGCAAAGCAGTGCTCTGCCCTTGCTTTTTCCCACACTCAGGCTCTGCTTTCTCTTTCTCTCTCTCTTTTCTGTCCATTTAGTCATCTACTACCCTGCCCTCCAAATACAAAGGCAGCAAGGTGCCCCAGAAAGTTCAATGCTCTGGGAGTCAAGAGCTTGAGTATTTGGGTGCACTCTGCAACTAATTAGTTAGGGTAGTCAGTGGCTCTCTATAGCACTCTGTTTCATTATCTGTAAAATGACTATAATAGGTGGCGGGAACATTGCAGGAATCAAAATAGATAATCTACATAAGAAATGTATGTGTTTGGAAAACTCCTCCATGGTTATTCTTAATCAAAGAGGGCATACATTTCTTGGAAGTGTCATCAACCTATTTCACATCCCACTCCCTGTATTTATATCCTGATGAGCTACTACTCCTTTGTGCTGCAAGGGCCTTCATAAATGACGGATGAAAGAAGGTGGGCAAGACTGAAGGCAGAAAGACTACATAGAAGCCTTAGTATGATCCTCCACTCTTCCTTCTCTCACACTCCACATCTCAATCCAGTAGCTCCCTCTTCAAAATATATCCAGAATACCCAATCCAGAATCACACACACGTGAAAAGTAGAAAAGTATTTGCATGTCCACCAAAAGAGGAATGGTGGATTATATATACTGTGGTGGGGGCAGGTGGGGAGGAGCATGAAAAAACACTGGCATGGAGACTTCAGTTTTAAGTGAGAATGTTCTGCAGTACTTAATATTAAGAAATAAAAACACCTTAGAGTGGGGGGAAAAAAACACTGGATTAGAAACGGCCTAGGTGGGTGGATCACGAGGTCAGGAGATCGAGACCATCCTGGCTAACACAGTGAAACCCTATCTCTACTAAAAATACAAAAAATTAGCCGGGCATGGTGACGGGCGCCTGTAGTCCCAGCTACTCGGGAGGATGAGGCAGAAGAATGGCGTGAGCCCAGAAGGTGGAGCTTGCAGTGAGCCCAGATCGCGCCACTGCACCCCAGCGTGGGCAACAGAGCGAGACTCCATCTGAAAAAAAATAAAAATAAAAATAAGAAACGAGTTCTGGTCCTTAAAGTCACTTAAACTGTTTTGGCTTCTTCGTATGGAAGATGAAAATGGTAATATAATTGACTTAGTAGGGATGCTGTAAGTATGAGTAGTGTGTAAATGTTTACAATTACGCATGGCACACAGCAACCGCCACCTTTTCTATCAGGGCTGTTCTCACCTAACTGTAAAACAGGAAGGCGTACCCAGCTGGATCTGGGCCCTGGGTTCTCAGGCATTGTGATTGGTCCCAGCATATGACGCAAGACGGGTTTCATTGATGGAATTGCTGTCAATTAGCGAAGAGCGGAAACCATGCGGAGAGGGCGGTGTTTTAGTGCCACACTTGCGCGACTCGCTCCTTTCTTTTCAGGCTTAGCTACTGCGCATGCGTCTGGCCCTCTTGAGGTTCCCGGCGTGCCCCGCAACAGCTTCCGGCGTGCTCCGCAACGGCTTCCGGCATGACGCAGTAGAGAAGATGGCGTGGTAGGCGCGTCGCGCGCCTGAGGGCCTTTTGTGGTGAGGTGGGGCTTAAGGGTTGCGGCTCCGCTCTCTGTCCTGAGGCTCTTAGATTGCACTCTGGGTTCCTGGACGCAAAAACTCGGAGTGGCTGCGTGATGCAGAGTGAACTGGGTCCTCTGGGGACGCGTGGGGAACGAGGCAGCCCGGAGTGCCTGCCTTGTTGCCCTTCGGACCTCCAGTCCATTCGGGTTCCCCAGTGAGGCCTCTTTTGAAGGGCTCGGTGGCGCTTGCCCTTCACGCTAAGAAAACACTCGTTTCCTAAAGCTCGACTGCGCCCTTGTGCTGAGCGGTGGGGACACGAAGACAGCACAGAAACATGTTTACCCTCAGCGAGCCCCCGAACTGTTGGAGTGGATAAACCCACCAGAAACAAATTACAGCGTTAGGCGGGTTAAGATGGAGCACCCTGAGAAACGTTACAGAGAGGACCGGAGAGTTCAGAGGATCAGGATGCTTCAAGAAGATGGGGGTAGTGGTGTCATCAGTCCTCATCCTGGGGTTTTTGTCTTTGATGGTGCACTCCTTGAGGACATGAAATTTTTCTTCGACGTTTCCAATACCTAGGCTCAGGGGCCCTTCCCTGATTGGTAGTGGTAGAGACCTGCTGTCTCTCGTGTTTATTATCTATGGAAAGGATGAATTAGGTCTTGGCGACTTAAGGAGGGAAAATTTTGGTGAGCAAAGGCACTTATATGTCCCTAGACCGGGGGTTCTCAACCAGCGCCCCCCTCCCAGGGCACAATTGATACTGTGTGGAGACAATTTTGTTATCACTACCGAGTGGTGCTACTGACATCTAGTGGGTGGAGACCAGGGATGCAGCTAAACATTATACAAGGTTCACAGGGTTCCTATCCCACTCCCCACCCCAAGAACTCAAAAAAACGATCTGGCTCAAAATGTCAGTGTGCTGGGGTTCTGAAACCCTACCCTAGAATGACAGCGGAAATGGAGAGAGCAGATGTTGGAGACATCTCAGCCGGAGACCATATTGAGTTTTGTCTCTCTCTTTTTTTTTTTTTTTGAGAGTGTGTCTCGCTCTGTCGCCCAGGCTGGAGTGCAGTGGCGCGCAATCTCGGCTCACGGCAAGCTCCGCCTCCCGGGTTCACGCCATTCTCCCGTCTCAGCCCCCGGAGTAACTGGGACTACAGGTGCCCGCCACCTTGCCCGGCTAATTTTTGTATTTTTAGTAGAGACTGTGTTTCACCGTGTTAGCCAGAATGGTCTCGATCTTCTTACCTCGTGATCGGCCCGCCTGGGCCTCCCAAAGTGCTGAGATTACAGGCGTAGGCCACCGCACCCGGCCTCATTTTGTGTTCTTTATAATGCTTAAGTATTTGATGCGCAGTTGGTTAATCAGGTGTGATGAGCCCAGTCTTCCTTTTATTTTTTCACCTGTTCATTCATTTGCCAGATACCTATTTAGCACTAAACACTATTCAGGATGCTAGGATTCCGCACTGAGCTGAAAAACCTTACATTCTTGGGCGGGGGATTTGACAGACATTAAAACTTATATATCAAGTAGTAATATATGCTATGAAGTTCCTGCAAGATGGAGTTTCTCTTCCTACCATCTCATACCATTTATTTACTTTCTTCTGAGTGCCAAGCACTGGCCTGGATACTTTACTGATATCTCTACTCTTTTCCTGTATCCTGCAAGATGGATATTATTTATTTATAATTTATTTTTTTGAGAGGGAGTCTTGCTCTGTCCCCCAGGCTGAACTGCAGTGGTGCAATCTCGGCTCACTGCAACCTCGGCTTCCTGGGTTCAAGCGATTCTCCTGCCTCATTCTCCCTGTGATTACAGGCACCTGCCACTACGCCCTGCTAATCATTTTTGTATTTTTAGTAGAGACGGGAGTTTCACCATGTTGGCCAGGCTGGAGGCTGATCTCGAACTCCTGACCTCAAGTGATCCTCCCCCAAGGCCCCCCCCCCCGCCTCGGCCTCCCAAAGTGCTGGGATAACAGGTGTGAGCCACTGTGCCCAGCCCTGCAAGGTGGGTGTTGTTATCCTCAGATGATGAAAAGTGGATCATAGGAGTTGAATAATTTGCCCCAAATCACTTAGTAGGGAGTTGAGCTTGGTCTCAAACCAGATTCACCTGAAGGATAAAGTCTGCGTTATTTCCACTAGTTAACATTGTGTCCCATATGCACAGCTGACTTGAATGGGATGAGAAATATATACCTTCTTTGCTAGAGTTAATAAAGTGAAGTAGAAACAAACTCACACTGACCTCTTTCTGTTTCCAGAGTAGAGTTTTTATCAGAACTAGCAGGAGGTGATTCTTCAGAGTTGCAGCAACTGAATTAGGACAATAATTGTAAGAGTGACATCATGGAAAGTGAGCAGTTCTTCTTGAAGGCCTAACTGAACTGGGTGAGCCATTAAGACATACAGGGTTTATCCTATATCTTAACTTTCACAAAGTTATGTGATGATTTTACTAATATTGAGAAAGTCATACAGGTTATGCGATTTACTTGAAATCAGTTTCTGGAGCTTCGATTCCTTTTTCGTTTAGGTTGTCACGTCGATTGGCTCTTCGAATGTGTGGTAAGGTGGTGGACAGCCGTAAAGTCACTCTAAATTAGTAGATGCTTGTTCAATTGTTAGAACTTTTCGTTTTGAAGCAAAGGCTTCTCAGATTATGAAAATTATTAGTATGACTGCTGTTAATGATATCGATGAGCCTACTGATTAGATAACATTTAATGTGGTGTATGCATTGGGTTAATTGGAGTAATGTTGAGGCACACTGATAGGCTGAGGAAGTGCTGTGGGAAAAAGGTTAAATTAACGCCTATAAATATAATGATGAAGTGGATTTTAGCATAGGTCTGGTTAGGTATATAACCTGAAAATAGGGGGAATCAGTGGACAATGCCTCCTATGATGGCAAATACTGCTCCTATTGATAGAACATAGTGGGAATGGGCTACAACATAATATATATCTTGTAAAATAATGTCTAATGATGAATTAGCTAGTATAAGGCCAGTTAAACCTCTTACTGTTAGTAGGAAAATGAATCCTAGGGGCTCAGAATATTGTGGGAGATCATTTGATATTACTACCATGCAGTGTAGCTAATCAGCTAAAGACCTTGAGTCCAGTAGGGATAGCAATAATTATAGTAACAGAGGTGAAGTATGCTCGTGTGTCTACGTCCATTCCTACATAGGAATGTAAATATATGGTGAGGCCATACGATAAATCCTAAGAAGCCAATTGATATTATGGCTCATGCTATGCCCATATACCCAAATGGTTCCTTTTTTCCAGAGTAATATGTTACGATATGACAGATTATCCTGAAGCCTGGAAGGATAAGGATATAGACTTCAGGGTGACCAAAGAATCAGAATAAATGTTGATAAAAGATAGGGTCGCCCCTGCCAGCAGGGTCAAAAAAAGTAGTATTGAGGTTACGATCAGTTAATAGGATGGTAATGCTGGCGGCTAGGACTGGGAGAGAAAGGAGGAGAAGGACTGCCATAATGAGGACTGATCAGATGAAAAGGGGTGTTTGATATTGGGACAAGGCTGGGGGTTTTATGTTAACAACTGTCATAAAATTAATGGCCGCTAAAATAGAAAAACACCTGCCAAGTGGAGTGAGAAGATGGTTAGATCCATAGAGGCTCCTGCTAGGTTTCCTGCTAAAAAAACTGTCCAGCCGGTTCCAGCGCCGGCTTCTACTACTGAAGATGCAAGTAGAAGTAGGGAAGATCGGGAGAGAAGTCCGAAGCTCATATTATTTATCTGGGGGAGTGCCGTATCAGGTGCACCAATCAGAGGGACTAGCCAGTTGCCGAAACCCCCAAATATGACTTATATGACCATAAAGAAAATTATGACTAATGCGTGGGTGGAAACAGTAACATTGTAAATCTGATCTTCTCCTGGCAGAGTTCCTGGTTGGCCTAATTCTGCTTGAATTAGAAGGCTTAAGGCGGTGCCCACTATTCCTGCTCATGCGCCGAATAGTAAATATAGTGTTCTGATGTCTTTGTGGTTAGTTGAAAACAATCAACGATTAATGAACATAAGTGGGAAAAGGGTAAAATGGCTGAGTAAGCATTAGACTGTAAATTCTTTTATTTTTATTATTTTTTGATGAGATGGAGTCTTGCTCTGTCCTCAGGCTGGAGTGCAGTGGCTCAATTTTGGCTCACTGCAACCTCTGCCTCCCAGGTTCAAACGATTCTCCTGCCTCAGCCTCCTGAGTAGCTGGGACTACGGTCATGTGCCACCACACCCAACTAATTTTTGTATTTTTAATAGAGACGGGGTTTCACCATGTTGACCAGGATGGTCTCGATCTCTTGACCTCGTCATCCACGCACCTTGGCCTCCCAAAGTGCTGGGATTACAGGCATGAGCCACCGTGCCTGGCTGGATTTATCTTTTTAATTAAGATTGGGATAAGAGCTATAATGTTCATTTCTAGGCCGGTTCAGATGAGAAATCAATGTGAGCCTAGCATTGTGATAAGAGTTCCTGTGAAAATAGTAAGGGAAATAATAAGTTGAGCTATTGGGTTAATTAATACAGGAAGGGTATAACTAACATTTTTGGGGTATGGGCCCGATAGCTTATTTAGCCAACCTTACTTTAGGACTTGGTGTAATGGGTAGCACAGATAATTTTGGATTCTCAGGGGTAGCTTCAATTCCTTAGTTCTAGAAATCAGAGGATTTAAACCTTTATTGTTTACTCTATCAAAGTAATTCTTTTGTCAGACATATTTCCTATATTTGGGGTGGGATGCTGGAAATTAGGCATTGAGATACATCATATGCAGAGTGCTGGTGTAAGCGGTAGGACATTTTTTCATAGAAGATATATAAGTTGGTCATAGCGGAATCGGAGGTATGCTGTTCGAGTTCATAAAAACGGTGGTTAAAGAATGGTCTTGGTAATGAAATTTGTGGTATAGAGTTCTGGTGACTCTACAGTGTGTAGTGCTCCTCGCAAAATGGTAGTAGTTATTTATTATGATAATATTCATATATTCTGCTATAAGAAGTGGGCAAATAAACCTGCGGCATATTCGATGTTTAAGCCTGAGACTGACTCTGATTCTCCTTCTGTTAGTTCAAAAGGGGCTCGGTTAGTTTCTGCTAGTGTGGAGATAAATCATATTATGGCTAGGGGTTATGATGGTAGAAGCAGTGGGAGGAATTCTTGCATTGTGATAAGTGCATTTAGGTTAAATGAGCCACTTATTAGTAGAACTGATAAAAGGACAATGACTAGAGTGACTTCATATGAAATTGTCTGGGCTACAGATTGTAATGTGACGATTAGTGCATAATTTGAATTAGATGCTCATCCTGATAGGATAGACGGCTAAGCTTGATGTGGCTAGTATAAATAGGAGGCCTATATTAAAATTAGAGCATCTGGTATGTGGAGGGGAGTTCACAAGAGGAGAGCAATCAGAACGGCTAGGGTTGGAGCAGTAGCATAAAGGGTAATAGTAGACTTTAAGAGATGTAAAGGTTCTTTGATGAAAAGTTTTATTGCATCAGCGAATGGTTGAAGCAGTCTATAGGGACTTACAGTGTTAGGACCTACAATGTTAGGTAATTGTATGTAGCCTAAGATTTTTCATTCAATGGGTATAAGGAATGCTATAGCGATTAAAGTGGTAATAATAAGTAGAAGATTGATTATAGGCATATCATTAAGAAAAGGAGTTGAACCTCTGATTTTAAAGTTTTAAGTTTTATGCAGTTGCTGGGTTCTGCCATCTTAAACGCTGTTCTTGGGTAGGGTGTGTGATGATTTGTTAGATTGAGACAGCATCGTTTATGGGGGCAAGGGTGCTTTGTGGAGTGGGCCCTGTTTCTCTTGGCCTTTTGTACTAAGGAGAAATGTTAAATAGATAGAAACCGACCTGGATTACTCTGATCTGAACTGAGATCACATAGGACTTTAATCACTGAACAAACGAAGCCTTAACAGCGGCTACACCATTAGGATGTCCTGATCCAGCATCAAAGCTGTAAACCCTATTGTTGATATGGACTCTAGAATAGGATTGCATTGTTATCCCTAGGGTAACTGATTCCGTTGATCAAATTATTGGGTCAAAGTGTGCTAACTCGCTTAGACTAGTGCGGTCTTAGTTTAGGTTGTTTGGAGGTTGAATTATGCTCCGAGGTCACTGCAACCACATCTTAAATTTCTTTTATTTTTTATTGTTTATTTATTTTTTTATTTTTTAAGACAGAGTGTGGCTCTGTCGCCAGTCTGGAGTACAGTGGCGCGATCTTGGCTCACTGCTATCTCTGCCTCCCGAGTTCAAGCCATTCTCCTGCCTTAGCCTCCTGAGTAGCTGGGATTACAGGCGCATACCACTACACCCAGCTAGCTAATTTTTGTATTTTTAGTAGAGACAGGGTTTCAGCATGTTGGCCAGGATGGTCTCCATCTCCTGACCTCGTGATCTGCCTGCCTCAGCCTCCCAAAGTGCTGGGATTACAGGCATGAGCCACTGCACCGGGCACCCCAACCAAAATTTTTAATGCAGAGATAGTAGGCTAGGACCTGTAGCCTTTTTTTTGAGTTTCTGTTTGCATTAATGAATGAAATCTCCATAGGGTCTTCTCATCTTTTTTGTTTATACTGTCTCTTCACGGATAGATCAGTTTCACTGATTGAAAGTAAGAGACAGCTGAACCCTCGTGTGGCCATTCATACAAGACCCTATTTAGGGAACAAGTGATTATGCCACCTTTGCACTGTCAGGATACCACAGCTGTTGAACATATGTCACTGGGCAGGCAGTGCCTCTAATACTGGTAATGCTAGAGGTGATGTTTTTGGTAAACAGGTGGGGTAAGATTTCCCGAGTTCCTTATACTTTTTGTAATCTTTCCTTAGAGCATACTTGTGTTGGATTAATAGTATAAATAGGGTATTTATTATTTGTTAATATTAGGCTGTTAACTATCAGTGGATTTTTCTGGTTTGATGTAAGCTTATATAATGGAGAATATAATGTTACTTATATTAACATTATTGCTTCTATTAAGTAATAGATTAGTCTAATGTAATGTTAGGAGTTCAATAGAGTGATTAGGATTTAAAATAATTGATGTTGAGCTTTAAAGCTTTCTTTTTTTCTTCTTTCTTTTTTTTGATATGGAGTTTCGCTTTTGTTGCCCAGGCTGGAGTGCAATGGCGCAATCTTGGCTCACTGCAACCTCCGCCTCCTGGGTTCAAGTGATTCTCCTGCCCCAGCCTCCTGAGTAGCTGGAATCACAGGCATGCACCACCACAGCCAGCTAATTTTGTATTTTTAGTAGAGACGGAGTTTCTCCATGTTGGTGAGGCTGGTCTCAATCTCCCGACCTCAGGTGATATACCCACTTCGGCCTCCCAAAGTGCTGGGATTACAGTTGTGAGCCACCGTGCCTGGCCTTAAATGATTTCCTAATTGGTGGCTGCTTTTGGGCCAACTATGGTGGTAATATTTTTTACTCTCTGGAGGAAAGTTATTTCCTAGGGTTTAAAGAGCTGTTCCAAAGAGGGACAATATTAAGGATGGGAGGTTTGTCTCCTGTAAAATGCATCCTTTCTCCTCTGCGGGTTATGTTCACCTGGTCCTGCTCTGAATGAGAATATCCTGATTCCTGAAAGGCCTGCTCTGTGATGGAGGCATTGCATTGCCTAGCAAGGTGCGGGTGCTTTAGATAAGTCCTCAGTGTCTGAGTCACACCTCTCCCCCAAACAGATCAATACAACTGGCTTTCTGCCCAAGAGACGACCGAAGGCCAGGCACGGTGACTCACTCCTGTAATCCCAGCACTTTGGGAGGCCCAAGCGGGCGGATCACGAGGTCAGGAGTTTGAGACCAGCCTGACCAACATGGTGAAACCCCGTCTCTATTGAAAATACAAAAATTAGTTGGGTGTGGTGGCATGCGCCTGTAATCCCAGCTACTCAGGAGGCTGAGGCAGGAGAAGGGCTTGAACCCTGGAGGCGGAGGTTGCAGTGAGCCGAGATCACGCCATTGTACTCTAGCCTGGGCAACAGAGTGAGACTCCGTCTCAAAAAAAAGAAAAAACAAAAACAAAAAACGAGAAGGGGGGCTAAAGTGGGGTTGGGTACTATGCAGCACGGTGTGACAGAGCTGTGGATCTGGGGTGGAAGGGGCCACAGACCTTCCTGCACTGCCCTAAGCAAACAGGACCTTGATGTGCTCTATGTCCCTGTGGTGCTGAGGCCTTGACCACTCTTTTATTTTTTCTCCTCTTTCCAGCTTTTATTTTAGGTTCGGGGGTAAATGTGCAGGTTTGTTATACAGGTAAATTCCATGTCGAGGGAGTTTGGTATACAGATTATTTTGTCACCCAGGTAATGAGCATAGTACCCAACAGGTAGTTTTCCAGTCCTCACTGTCCTCCCACTCTCTACCCTCTAGTAGGCCCCGGTGTCTGTTGTTCCCCTCTTGGTATCCATGTGTACTTGTAAGCTCCCTGTTACAAGCGAGAACACATGGTATTTGGGTTTCTCTTCCGGGTTAATTCGCTTAAAATAATGGCCTCCAGCTCCATCCATGTTGCTGCAAAGGACATGATTTAATTCTTTTTTATGGCTGTGTAGTATCCCATGGTGTATATGTACCACATTTTCTCTATCTGCATCACCATTGTGGGCATCTAGATTGATTCCATGACTTTGCTATTGTGAATAGTGTTGCAGTAAGCATATGTGTGCCTGTGTCTTTTTGGTAGGATGATCATTCCTTTGGCTATATGCCCAGTAATGGGATTGCTGGGTTGAATGGTAGCTCTGAGTTCTTTGAGAAATCTCCAAACTGCTTTCCACAGTGGCTGAACTAATTTACATTCCCACCAGCAGTGTATAAACATTCCCTTTTCTCTGCAACTCACCAGCATCTGTTATTTTTTGACATTTTAGTAATAGCCATTCTGACTGCTGTGAGATAGTATGTCATTGGGGTTTTGATTTGCAATTCTCTTTTGATTAGTGACGAGCATTTTTTCATGTGCTTCTTGGCCACATGAATGTCTGACTGCTCTTCTAATTCTGTTCTGCTCAGCTGCACCTGCCCTGCCTGATGATGGGTGAGGGCAGAGTTCTTAGTGAAGCCTCTCTTAGAGTGAGAACACCTGTAAGACTTTTCACCAGTGTGGGTTTTTCAGTGGGCACTGAAGTGGGAGCTATTGTTGAAGCTTTTCCCACACTCTGCACACTTGTATGGGACTGATTTTCAATGTGAAAACAAAATATAAAAACTATTATTGGAGTTATTTCTAAACAGAACTAACATTAGAATAGCCTGAATCATCAGCATTATCTTTCAGAAAAATCAGATTCATCAAATAGATCTTTGGCCTACAACTGTTAGAGAATTATGTTAACATCATATGTAAGAATGCTACATTTTCTAGGATTTGACATTTTCAGTGATCGAGAATCACTGAAGGTAGGAAATACCACTACTAAATGCTGTAAATAGAATGATGTCCTTTGCTTCCAAATTCGATATACTAGAGCAATGTGAAAATAATAAAAGCAAGATGACCAGGAGTGGTGGCTCACACCTCTAATCCCAGCACTTTGAGAGGCTGAGGCAGGAGGATCACTTGAGGCCAGTTCAAGACCAGCCTGGTCAACATGGCAAACCCCGTTAGTCGGTCATGGTGGTGCAGGCCTGTAGTCATAGCTACTTGGGAGGCTGAGGCATGAGAATTGCTTGAACCTGGGATGCAGAGGTCGCAGCGACCTGAGATTGCACCACTGCACTCCAGCCTGGGCAAAGAGAGAGACCCTGTCTCAAAAAAATAAATAAATAAATAAAATAATAAAAGCAAGATATTTTGTGGCAAAGTTATCTCAGGGTAAACACTGCAGCTGCAAGCACTGCTGGCAAGTATTCTTGGGGCAAATGCTTAACTTTTCAAAAAGCTCAAGAGACCATGATGCTTTTCACCATACCTTAGATAACGTCCTGCTACCTTGTGTGCACCAGCCAACAACCGTAGACAAATGCACCTGTCTTCTACCACTTTTTATCCATGGCGATTTCATAAAAGTTTAAGTGTCTGTGACTCATCATAGATGAATTTTAACTTTGGTTCCTAGTGCATCTCGTTCCCATTCTTCCTTTCATCTACCATTCTCATCTACCAAACTCTTCAGGAGTCAGAATCTCCTGATGAACCTTGTTTTTCCCTTGCTTCTGTGATCTTCACTCTTATGATGGCACAAACCCTTTCCAACCCAATTCATTTCCTCTTTTCCCTATTTCCTACCCCTGTTCCTTCTCTGCATGTCCTACTTCCCTGAAGCAGACTCTACACTTACATATATGTCATTTTCAGGACCCTGCAGGCTTCTGCATGAGTATAGTTTCTAATGGAGAAAATTACAACCAAAGGCCAAGGAAGTGGAGGGAGAAACAACTTTATATTCATCAGAAATTAGTAATGTTTATAAATTTGTTTATAATAGTTTATAAATTATTATCAGAAATAGTAATGTCTATAAACCACTTTAAGAGACAATCAGGAACTATGATGACGGCGATAATAAAAGGATAAGTCTTATAAAAAATTAACCTGGATGTTACGCTTGCTCTAAGGTTAAGTCACTTAGGGAAACAGATTCAGTATTATCCAATGGCTTAACCCTCCTTCTTGTTGTTCCCTTTTTGGTGGTGGCTGGGTTACAAAGAGTAGTGTCTTCTTCCCTGAAGTTAGTACTAGTATGGCAGGTGCCTAGAGGTCAATTATTGGTTTAGAAGAGATTCAGGCTCTTAATTTCTACATGTGCTTCCCAGGAAAGGGGACACTTCCTTTCTCAGCCCTGTGTGAGGACTACGTTAGCCCAGAACGTGTTCTCAGATCACTGGGTGCCCATTCTCAGTTCTAGGAACAGGAAGACCCTGGTTTCCTGGCAGAATTTATGGACCCTACAGCTTTCTCTCCATCAAACTTTAAGTCACAGTAAGATAGGACTCTGGAGTCACAGGCACACCCAGGAGAGGTCAGCATCCTTATGCTGATTCCTGGTCCTAGACATGGGTCTTAAGATCCAGTAGTCAGTAGGTCTGTTGCCAAGTCACGGACTGGCTAGATCTCTCCATAACAGAAGAAAGCCCTAAGGAACGCATACATGCTGACCTGAGGAACTAATCTGACAGTTTTCCTACACACTCATAACACATCTCTTCCTTCCTGTGATGAGAGTACTACTTTCAAGTGTACTGTCTGATGACGGGTGAGGGCAGAGTTCTTACTGAAGCCTCTCTCACAGTGAGAACACCTGTAAGGCTTTTCACCAGTGTGGGTTTTTCGGTGGGCACTGAAGTGGGAGCTATTGTTGAAGCTTTTCCCACACTCTGCACACTTGTATGGGCTCTCCCCAGTGTGGATGCGCCGGTGAGCACTGAACTGGGAACTGTTGTTGAATCTCTTTCCACAGACAATGCACTGGTAAGGCTTCTCCCCAGTATGGGTCCTCTGGTGGACAATGAGGCTGGAGCTCTGGTTGAAGCTTTTCCCACACTGCCCACACTGGTAGGGCCTCTCCCCTGTGTGAGTTCGTAGGTGGGCAGTGAGGTTGGAGCGCTCACTAAAGCCTTTCCCGCACTCACTGCACTTGTGAGGCTTCTCACCTGTGTGGATTCTCTGATGCCGAACAAGATAAGAACTTCGGCTAAAGGTTTTCCCACATTCTGGACATTGAGATACTTTTTCCAGTTCGAGTGCTGGCTTGTTGGGAGAATGCACACTCTGAGAGCAGTTTTTCCCACAGAGGATATGTGTACAGGCTTTGTCCCTGGCACAAAAACTCTGGTGACTCATCTTCTCCTGGGATGGGGTTTTCGGCTCACTCTCCCCTGGAAAATTTCTACATTGCCTTCTTGATGTTGGCTCACTCTCCAAGCCTTTTTGTAGCTCAGAGTGCCAAAAAACTCCTCTGGACTTTCTCTGAAAAGCCTTGTGTATTTCTACTTCCTCTGAATCATCCCATTTTAGATTTTCTTTTTTAATCTCATTCTTGATGTCAAAATCTGGAAAAAAACCCCACAGAAATACAATGGACTATAGAGAAGGAAAACAATGGAATGCAAAGTTATAACTGTACTATGTAGAAGAAATATCTAATTGAAATTCTTCATGTGATTAAGTCTCCTGCTAATTAACAGCTTTTTATTTTCTAATTGTAATATTTTTGAGCTCCAAATTATTACAGAAAAATTATGCCCTAAACTCCAACTTTTCTCCTATCTATGTCATCTGCCAGTCTGTTTATAGGTGTACCCTCAATTCTTGAATGTTCTAACTTCTGGCAGCAGAACAACAAAAGGCAACCCTGGTCTTGGCCAGCTCAAACAGGAAGAAAGCAAAGTGCTAAGTACTCAGCCAGCATAGGCTCAGGCTGTGAAAGGCAAGGCCATGCTAGAGGAGGAGAGAGAAGATAGACCTGGTCTGGAGGCCTAACCAGCAGTCTGACAATGCAAAGTAGTGAAACTCCATGGGAAAAGATGACATGAACTTAGTGAAAGAGGTTGGCAAATGCAAAATCAGGGCTCTAAAATGCAAGAGGAATAATCTTTAAACTCCATGAAAACCAAAACTCCTGGCTTGGATAGGGTGACATATCAAGATGATGATAATGCCAGGATCAGTGACAGCTCCCACTCAACTGCTAGACTAATGGCCTCTAAAGTGGACTTTGCCATTCTTTGACTATCAGAGCCAAGGGAGTCTTACCAAGTCTGTTTGGGAACAGCACTGGCAGGTCAACTTTCCTGACTTCCTGGCCAGGATTCCTGAAGTCCTTTTCATCCCTGTCTGCACCATCCACAGTGCCATCTTCTACCTCCTTGGGCTCCCCGTTCTGGTGATTCAGTTCTCCCACCTCAATATCACCTCCTTCTTGGCCAGGAACAGCATCACTTGCCATAGGAGGTGCAGAGGCCCAGGAGCTTGAAAGAGCATCCATTTCCTCATAAAAGATACAAGGCTCAGGCACACAGCCTCTCCTCACTTTGCGGTAACTCAACTGTAGGCTTTTGAACTTGGTGCGACACTGTTCTGGGGTCCGCAGAAAACCCCGATCCCAGAGTTGTTCCGCCATGGCCCTGTAGATCTGGCTGTTCTGCTGACAAGTCTGGAGTTTTCCATAAAATTGAGAACTACTAAGAATAGCCAGGAGCGTCTTGGTCTCTTCGTAGCCCCAGGGCACACCTGTTGCTGGGAGACAAAGAATAGGTCAATCAGATCTGTCAATTAGATCATGGAGGACTGTACATACTGCAGTGTGAGGTTTTAGCAGCTTAAAAAGTTACATCCTAGGCTGGGTGTGGTGGCTCACACCTGTAATCCCTGCACTTCGGGAGGCCAAGGTGGGCGGATCACAAGGTCAAGAGATCGAGACCATCCTGGCCAACATGGTGAAACCCCGTCTCTACTAAAAATACAAAAAAAATTAGCTGGGTGTGGTGCCGTGTGCCTGTAGTCCCAGCTACTCAGGAGGCTGAGGAAGAAGAATCACCTGAACCCAGGAAGCAGAGGTTACAGTGAGCTGCGATTGTGCCACTGCACTCCAGCCTGACGAGAGAGCAAGACTCCATCTCAAAAAAAAAAAGAAGTTACATCCTGGTTTCTCAAACTGTGCCACAACTGGCTATTGTTATTTCTAGGAAGAAATCTCACTTTGGCCATTTGTCTAAAACATGAAAACTTTTAGTATAATACAAAAGACATTCCCTCCACTGAGAAGGACTTGTAGGGTTATTTACTCAAGCTGCCTTTTAAATTTGTCTTTAATTATCCTCAATCCTACTCATTTCTCTTGGAGAGATGGCTGGCAATAAGGGTAGTGTCTTGCCTGCCTTGACAGTTGTGGGACTTCCTGAGGGTGGCCACATAAGAGGACACAGCGAACAGGTGACATTCGAGTAAAGCAAAGATTCAGGGGACAGAGGAGCTGGTTGTAAGGATATATCTGCCTGTTCCCTCCCTGATACAGGAATACCTCCTCATCTGGCCCATCTATATCTGTTTATATCTCCTGTCATCCTTGTAGATACAAGAAAATGACAGCAGTTAACACACCAAGGTAAGAATAAGCAGTAAACATCTGAGAAGAGCAGTTCAGGATGACTGGCTACTCAAAAACCCTCACCACACACTCCTGCTGCCCATCTGGGCCAGTTGATGAGGACTGATTTGACTAGAGCTGTCCCAGCAAGTGCACTCCAACATCTGGTTGTGATATTCTGAAGGGCACCAGCCTCTTCTTGTCACTCCCTCTGCTCCACACTGAGCCACTGTCACCTCATACCTGGATCACTGCCATAGCCTATCTGGTCTTCTTGCTTCCACTCTGGACCTTTTACAGTCAACTTTCAACCCAGCAGCCAGAGGGAGTCCTCTCCTTTGTTATTCAATTTAACTAACAGTGCCTACAATGCCAGTTTCTAAGAAATACGAATATTACATGAACCCTGCCTTCAAGGAGGTCACAGTCATGTCGAAGTCTCTCTAGCAAAAAGAGACATGAATAAATGTTTACATAGAGTTAAGTGCCAAATAAAGTGAAATACTCAAAGTGGTCCTTTTAAAACTATTACTCCTCTGCCCAGAACCACACAAGACTCCCCCATTTCACTCAGAATAAAAAAGTCCTTTATGTAGGGCCTGACGATCCTGTATTAGTACTTCTCAAATTATCTATGAAGGACAGGAGTCTTGTGCTTATTTCTTTTGTAAAATACAATAAAAATAAACTGAAAAGTGCAGCAATGTTAAATTGTTATAAAAGTTTCTAATTGCTCCCTCTCAGTCTCAGCTGACAGCAGTCATTTGAGCTGGCTTTCTGAGCTCGTTTTCTCATTACTCATGGGTGCACTCTGTGCCAGTTAACTGGCATGCCCACCTCGCTCCAGGCTGTCATTGCGTCTTACACTCTTCCTCCATGTGGGATATGGCTGCATGGCTCATCCCTCCTCCTTCGGTAAGTCTTTTCAAATGTCATTTTCTCAGTGAGAGTGACCCTGAGGACCCAAACTGAAAAGTGAAAACCAACCTCTGTCCTGGCACTCCCATCACTCTGCTCTGCTATTTCTCTCCCATCGCGCTTATCGCCCTCTAACATCTTCTGCCGCTTACTGATTATGCTATGGTCTGTCTCTTCCCACAGGGCAGGAATCTTTAGCTGTTTGTTCCCTGTTGTATACCTAACAACCTAGAAGTAGGTCTGAGATACTATAGGCACTAAGTTAATATTTGTGGAAAGAATGACTTGTCCTCCCACATTCTGTCTCAACTCTTAACCTCTAATTTTAAAGGATCCTGAATGGTTGACAAGAAACCAAAAGTGTGTGGGGAATACAAGCCTTCATTTGATAAGCCTAATGTTGTAGAAATTAAAATTACAGGTACCATTACATGAAATATTCAGAATAGTGCAATCCATAGAGACAGAATGAAGACTGGTGTCTGCCAGGGGCTTGCAGGGGGAGGACGGGGAGAAACTGCTGGATGGTTGTAGGATCATACTTTGGAGTGACGGAAAGGTTCTGGAACTGGACGTAGTGGTAATTACACAACACTCTGAATGTGCTAGATGCCAAAGAATTGTTCACTTTACAGTGGTTAATTTTATGTCATGTGAATTTCACCTAATAAGTTAAAAATCACAAATACAAAAATATTTATCTCTCACCTTACTGTATTATCCATATATATTTAGTAATACAAAGCTCAAAAAGACACTATACTCTCCTGCAACTGGACAAAGATAAGGTGCAGGAGAAGCCTGAAGCAGCAGCAAGAAATGGCATATGCTGAAGCCAGGAAACTGGGAGTTCCTGGCAAAGGAGGGGAGGGATGGCAGGGGCAGAGCAGGGAAAAACCACACACCACTGGGGAGGACAACATTGTAGAGTGAGGCAGGGGCAGTGTCACAGGGCCTGTGTTCATGGCCTTGTCTAGTCCCTCCAACCCTGGGCTTGGCCAGGAGAACCCTGCATGTGAAGCAGCAGAGGAGACATCTAGGCCCAGTGAGCTGCAGAGTGTCTGTCTCTGAATCTGGATGGTCAGGGAGGCTGCTCTGAGGAGGAGGCATTTGGCCCAGATGGGACAGAACTGATTTGAGAAAGGCAAGAGAGCAGTCTGTTTGGCAGAACCTTCCCCAAATGTCCTGAGATGCTGGGAAAGGGCCTGGAAGGCCTGGGCATAGTAGACTGTCCTATTTGGGTGGTTTTATTTGTTAATCTCCTCTGCCACTGGAGAAACTCGGGCGTGACTACTGCTACCTGTGTGCATGAGCACACTCAGCATGAGCACATCTGTGCTCTTGTTGCCCACCTGTCTGGCTCCAGCTCCGGCCTGCTTGTTCTGACTCTGTCTCACTATCACTTTTTGCTTCTCCACCCCCTCACCCTTCATCTCCCATGTTCTTGACTGCCTGTCACACATGCTACCCCTTTCTTTTGATTTCTGCCTGTGTCTCTCTTGCCTGCTCTGGTTCCCCATTTACTTCCTCCTTTCCCTCCACCCAACAGTCTCCCCACTCCCTCTGTCTCCCTTCCTCTCAAGTCCTTTCAGCTTCTCTGAACAACTGAACACATCCACCTGGACCTAGAGGGAAGATGGATCCTTACCCAGCGAGATGTGTCTGTTCTTCCTCTGCGTGGCACCCCTGTAGAGGGCCTTTCGTGCAGGGCCTGGGCACATCCATTCTTGCTGACAGAGGGATACAGCTCTGTTGTCACACGTGGCTGGTCCCTGTAACAACACTGGAGCTGGCTACCGGTAAAATAGCACCACTCTAGCCTGGGGTGGGGGCAGAGACAGGATCACAGTTGTCAGATCAGGGGCAAGGCAAAGGCAGGGGAGGTCAGCCCCCAGGGACAGGTTCTGAGCCATGTGATGATGTCAGAGTGGACAGAATCAAAATAACCCGAGAAGCCCCGTGGACCACACAGAATCCTCATGTATCTGGAAATGAGGGTTTTGGGGTGAGAGTGGGTAATCAGGAGACAGAACGCATCAACCACAGCTCACCTGGGACCCAGCTGTCCAGACCACAGCACCTGTCTCCTGGTCGTGGAGACCTGTGTTTTGGGGCAGGTTCCTGGGAGCCTGAGGAGCAAGCCAGGCTGGGGGGAAAAACAGCCGCTATTAGAGGGCGGCTTCCACACAACAGCACAAAGCAGAAGCTCTCAAAGTGGGCTCCTGGGCCAGCTGCATCAGCAGCCCCTGGCAACCCATCAGAAATACAAATCCTGGGGCCCCACCTCAGATCTTCTAAATCAGAAATTCTGAAGGTGGGGCCTGGGACTCTCCCACCCTGGATGAGTCTGAGGCAAACTCAAGTTTGAGAACCACTGCCAGAGTCCACGGCCTCTGTGAGTTGAGAGGTTCCTTTCATGAGATTCCTCTTGGCATAAGAGCTTTAATTTTTTTTTTTTTTCATTTTATATGCCAGGGAAAAAGAATCATAGTGGGAAAACAAAAATATCTCCATAGCCCTGCCACCCAAAGATAACCACAGTACTCTTTAAAAAACCACAGTAACAGAAACCTTTTATATTTTTCAGATCAAGATAATACATTTTTTCTCAAGTCTCCAACTTCAAGAATTGTACAAATATGACTGTGACATTGCTTAAAAATATAGGAAAAATTTTTTAAAAATTGTACAATCCCAGCACTTTGGGAGGCCGAGGCAGGCAGATCACGAGGTCAGGAGATCGAGACCATCCTGGTTAACATGGTGAAACCCCATCTCTACTAAAAATACAAAAAATTAGCCGGGTGTGGTGGCGGGTGCCTGTGGTCCCAGCTACTCGGGAGGCTGAGACAGGAGAATGGCATGAACCCGGGAGGCGGAGCTTGCAGTGAGTCGAGATCGCACCACTGCGCTCCAGCCTAAGCAACAGAGTGAGACTCCGTGTCAAAAAAAAAAAAAATTGTACCAATAAAATGAATCATATTTACTACTTATTAATGAAACTTCAATGGCAACTCAGAGGTATGTGACCCCTGGAGAGGTAACAACATTCCAGATCTGTGAGTGGCCCATGGGCCTGGGAAGCAGAGGGAGCCTAGCCTGGAAGGCAGCAAGTCCTGCTCTTTACTCACAGCCCCTGCTGTCCCAAAGCCTTGGAAATCACACACACAGAACACAGGTGTTCCCAAGGATTAAAAGGAAATAAATGCTAAGTGGCAAAGTTTATAAAGATGTTAACAAGAGTATTACTTTGCTTAAAAAAAACTTAAATCAGCCGGGCATGGTGGCTCACACCAGTAACCCCAGCACTTTGGGAGGCTGAGGTGGGCGGATCACCTGAGGTCAGGAGTTCGAGACCAGCCTGTCCAACATAGCGAAACCCTCTCTCTACTAAAAATACAAAAAATTAGCCGGGCATCGTGGCAGAAGTAGGTAATCCCAGCTACTCGGGAGGCTGAGGCAAGAGAATCACTTGAACCCCGGAGGCAGAGGTTGCAGTGAGCTGAGATCATGCCATTACACTCCAGCCTGGGCAACGAGCGAAACTCCATCTCAAAAAAAAATTAAAATCTGAGACAATTTTCTACTTTATCAACACAGTTTGCCAACTTAAACATCATCAAGACACAGTGTTTTTCAGGCTGGGTGTGGTGGCACATGTCTGTTTTCCAGCACTTTGGGAGGCTGAGGCAGGAGGACTGCTTGAACCCAGCAGTTTGAGGCAACAGTGAACTATGATGGCACCACTGCACTCCAGCCTGGGCGACAGTGCAAGACCCTGTCTCTTAAAAAACTTACCTAGCAACCTGCAATGGCAGCTTTCAATTAAACAGAAAAGGCAGCAAGTATATAGCCAAATTACTTCATGGAAAAAGACTTATAAAAATATAGACCCTTGGTATAGCCACGCAATGGAATATTATTCAGCCATCAAAAGAAACAAAGTACTGACATGCTCAAAACATGAAAAGTGACAAGGCGGCAGACACAAAAGGTCACATAATACATGTGATTAGACTTATATGAAATGTCCAGAACACGTAAATCCATGGAGACAGAATGGGGAGCAACTGTTTAATGGGTACAGTGTTTCCTTTTCGGCATGATAAAAATGTTTTGACACTAGATAGAGGTGATGGCTGCATAACACTGTGAATGTACTAAAGCATAACTGAATTGTTCACTTTGAAATGGTTAATTTTATGTTATGTGACATTCCCTCAATTATAACAATTTTTTTTTTCATAGAGACAGGATCTTGTTATGTTGCCCAGGCTGGTCTTGAACTCCTAGGCTTAAGCTACCTCCTGCTCCAGCCTCCCAAAGTGCTGAGGTTACAGGCATGAGCCATCGCACCCAGCTAAGATAATTTTTTTAGTTAAAGTTTTCTAAGGCCGGGCGTGGTGGCTCATGCCTGTAATCCCAGCACTTTGGGAAGCTGAGGGAGGTGGATCACGAGGTCAGGATATCGAGACCATCCTGGCTAACACAATGAAACCCTGACTCTACTAAAAATACAAAAAATTAGCCGGGCATGGTGGCGGGCGCCTGTAGTCCCAGCTACTCTGGAGGCTGAGGCAGGAGAATGGGGTGAACCTGGGAGGCGGGGCTTGCAGTGAGCTGAGATCGTGGCACTGCACTCCAGCCTGGGAAATGGGGCAAGACTCCGTCTCAAAAAACAAAGTTTTCTAAAAAAATTAAGACAAGTAAAAACAAAAAATAGAGCTCTGGAAGAAAGGCAAAAATAATACAAATATATTCTGGAAAGATTAAGTTGGATGGGGAAGGGGATTTAATGTCTTCAAGTATATGAAGAACTGCTGTGCAGAAGGTGAAGGTAACATGTTCACCTTTAAGGACGCCTGATTCTTTAGTAACAGAATTGTAATAAAAAAGAATTACGCTAACACATAAAGAATCTTGAAATTTGTAATCTTGCTTTTGGATATGGATATATTTCTCTTTTATTTTTTGTTTTTGAGGCAGCCCAGGCTGGAATACCAATGGCGTGATCTTGGCTGAGTGCAACCTCCATCTCCTGGGTTCAGGCGATTCTCCTGCCTCAGCCTTCCAAGTAGCTGGGATTACCATGCCTGGCTAATTTTTTGTATTTTTAGTAGAAACTGGGTTTCACAGTGTTAGCAAGACTGGTCTCGAACTCCTGACCTCAGGTGATCCGCCTGTCTGGTCTTCCAAGGTGCTGGGTTTACAGACATGAGCCACCACGCCTGGCCGGTTTTTGGATATATTTCAAAGGCATTTAGTCTGGAACCCTTGAGTGGACCCAGTTCAGACCTTTGTTTCCAGTAAATGATTGTTCCTCACCTGCCTCAGGTGAGGACAGAGGCTTCTGCTTACCTTCCGACTGTTCCCCTGGTCTTTGGTGTGAGCTCTGTGATCCCTTTAAAGTCGGCTTCTCTGGCTGAATCTCCTGTTTCCATTGGGATCTCAATGATTCTCTGGTTGTTCCCAAAGGGGCCATCTCCTCCATGAGTACTTTCAAGTCCTTCTCAGAATCTGGGACCTGAGAACAGACCCCATCATCCATCACTACAAATTCCTGCCTAAGTTGGACTTTACAACTCCTAAGAGTGGCATTAAAAAATAATGTGTAACATAAGGAAGCAGAAGAGAAACATCTAGGAGCCACTGTATTGCTGCTTTAATAAAATAAAAATTAATAGAATTAGGTCTTTGAGGGTGCAGTGGGTCACACCTATAATCCCAGCACTTTGGGAGGCCAAGGTAGGTGGATCATGTGAAGTCAGGAGTTCAAGACCAGCCTGGCAACATGGTGAAACCCCATCTCTACTAAAAATACAAATATTAGCTGGTGTAGTGGTGTGAGCCTGTAACCCCAGCTACTTGGGAGGCTGAGGCAGGAGAATCACTTGAACGCAGGAGGCAGAGGTTGTAGTGATCCAAGATCACGCCACTACTCTCCAGCGTGGACAACACAGCAAGACTCTGTCTCAAAAAAAAAAAAAAAAAAAAAAAAAAGTCTTTGAAGTGGTTAAGATTATTTATATGACAGCACCTAGCATAGAGCCTGACACACCAGAACTGTTAAAAACTGGTATATATTTGTTAGAAGAGAGAATGTCAGCTTTCACTTTAGCATGCCCCCATGACTTCCACACTAGGCCATTTCCTCTGCCCCCCCCCCCCCAATCCAGTATTAGTTCTGTCTTCAAAAGAGACCTCCTTTGGTCCTCTCCATCTCCCAGCTCCATCAGGGTCCAGGACACTATCTGCTGTCTGTATCCTCTCTACTGCTGAACCCTCCAATCCATTCTCTCTACGTGGAATTCAGTGTGATCTTTTTAAAATCTAGACTCCTATCCCTCCATGGTAACAACACTCTTCAGTGGCTTCCCACTGCACACAGAATAAAATCCAAACTCCTCTTCGCAGCCTAAAAGGCCCAGCATGATTCTGCCCTGCCTCCTCCCTTTCTCTCACAGCACTCTTCCCCAGTCTCTGAGCTCCAGCCACAAGCCCTCCCTTCCTCTCAAACCTGCCCAGTCCTTTACCACCTTAGGCTCTTGGTATGTGCTGTGCCCTCTGTCTAGAGTACTCTCCTCCCAACTCTTGGGACAACTGGTTCCTTCTCCTTCAGTGTCACCTCAGAGAGGCCCTGCCTCACCACCTATCTCCCAACACTCCAGTTATCACATCACTGTGCTCATTTCCTTCCAAGCACTCATCTGAAACGATCTTTATGGTTTACTTTTGATTTATGATTGTCTGTTTCCCCCATGGACTGCGGGCTCCAGCAGGCCAGGGGCCATGCCTGTCCTGTTCACTGTAAAATCCCCAATATCACAGTCACTTAAAATCAACTTTTGTCTTTCAGAGCCATCTTCATTCCTTAAGTCCCATGCTTATAACAGGCACCGTTAAAGGGAATGAGGAGAGGTACTGAGAGGCAAGTGGGGTCCTAAGAAATTATGTCAACCTCTATTACTACTACCCACCTCCACTTCTTGCTCTCCCCTTCACTTTCATGATAGGTGATATGGTTTTGCTGTGTCCCCACCCAAATCTCATCTTCAATTGTAGTTCCCATAATCCCCATGTGTCACTGGAGGGACCCAGTGAGAGGTAATTGAATCATGGGGGCAGTTTCCCCCATGCTACTCTAGTGATAGTAAGTTCTCACAAGATCTGATGGTTTCATAAAGGACTTTCCCCTTCACTCAGTTCTCATTCTTCTCTTTCCTGCTGCCATGTGAAGAAGGACGTGTTTGCTTCCCCTTCTGCCATGATTGTTTCCTGAGGCCTCCCTAGCCATGCAGAACTGTGAGTCAGTTAAACCTCTTCTCTTTATAAATTATCCAGTCTCAGGTATGTCCTTATAGCAGTGTGAGAATGGACTAATACAATAGGTTTCAAATAGGTGTTTAACCTATACACTCCTGCACTGTTTTATATTAAGAGTGTGGGCCAGGCACAGTGGCTCACACCTGTATTCCCAACACTTTAGGAGCGTGAGCTCAGAAGGTGAAGACCAGCCTGAGCAACATGGCAAAACCTCATCTGTAATAAAAAACAAAAATTAGTTGGGCATGGTGGTGTGCACCTGTAGTCCCAGCTAGTTGGGGGGCTGATGCAAGAGGATCACTTGAACCCAGGAGGTTGAGGCTGCAGTGAGCCACATTCATGCCACTGCACTCCAGCCTAAATGACAGACCAAGACCCTATCAAAAATAAAATAAAGTAAAATAAAATAAAGTGTGATTCCGAGATGCTTAAGGGTAAGAAGAGGAGAGAGCATCAAACAGAGTGATGGAAGGGGACCTGGGCTAGGATGACTATTGGCATGCTGGGATTCCCACTCTATTTATAATAGTTCAGTTCTCCAAGCTCTACCTTCTTACAAGTGCTACTGCACCTCTCCATTCAATCTTACTTATGAGTAAGAGTCCCAGTCCCACAGACTTCAGACTAATTTCCTCAACTTTTTCCCTGATGCATCACCACCAAGCTGCTCTTCCCGTCTCTAAATTAAGTCAAAAGTACTAACTCCTCAATCCTACCAAATTTCATCTACATCCCCCTTCACCCATTCCTCTTCCCACAGGCCGTGCACATCCCTACCTCCTCACTGGGAAACACAAGCATATCTGCTGCCTAGGTCCTTCACATTCCAGCTATGCAGACTCTGGCACCCAGTAAGCTGCTTCCTGCTCTGATCACAGACTCACTCAGGCTGACCAACGTTCCTCTGACCTGTGCCCTCCATTACTCTAGGCCTCTCCCAGACTTACCCGATTTCAGTTGCCTTCCTCCTACCAACTTCTCCACAACAAAAGCTGGCGTGTTACTTTTCTCTTCCTGTGCCTTTCCCACCTCCCTGCTCCCAGAAGATATAAGCTGGTTACACTGATCAGATCTCACACCTAGTCCTGACCATAAGAGGATATTTTATAAATCCATCAGTGTCCCATACTGAACACTTAATCCCGGCAGCAAGAACCAGGGCAAGGCCTGGCTCTAACATAATTTTGTTGAGTGTACGACACATGGCACTCTGCCCTCAAAGAAGCTCCTAGCAAGAAACTAGATTTTCGTTCACCAGCATCTGTAGTTTTCCTCCATCCCCTGAGTGAAGGATAGTTGTCCTTTCCCTGGCCTTGTTTTGGAGAATTTTTCTGAGTGTTTTTACCACTTTAATTAAGGACTTCAAACATTACTAAATATATGAATGTCTAACAGCTGTATCCACAGATGAGAAATTCTTCCCGTACTATAAGGGCATAGGACTAACCCGAGATAGCCAAGACCTTCTGTGGGCAGCAGAGGGCTACTGTGTGTTTCTCAACCAAGCAGCCCTCCAGTAACTGGACTCCCCAACTTCTTCATAACCCAAACCACAAAGTTCCGACTTCCTTTTCTCACCTGTTGTCCAGGAGCTCTCTGTACATCCTCAACCAGAGCCACAGCTTCCTCCCCGTTTTCTGGATGCTGCTCCCTCACCCAGGTCTGGATCTCCTCTGGCAAGATAGTCAGAAACTGCTCCAAAACCAGCAGCTCCAGGATTTCCTCTTTCGAGTGCGTCTTCGGCTTCAGCCACTGACAACAGAGTTCCCAGAGTTTGCTAAAAGCTTCATGGGGGCCAGTTACTTCCTGGTAGCAAAACTGCCTGAAGCGCTGACGGGAGGCCTCGGAGTCAGGGCTGTTACCCTGGAGGGCTGATTTCTGGCCCTGTGTGGGATCCTTGTTTGAGGATGGGTGTGCCTCGGAACTCTTTGCTGCAGCCATCATTTGCTTCAACGAACTGGCTTACTCTGGTTGCCACTTCTACCCTGGAGATCAGAGTCCATCTCTTCCCACATCACTGGGAAGCCATGTTCTGCAAGGAATGTCTTTCTCTAATCCGTGAGACATGAGAGTGTCAGACATGTATAGAGACTCACAGCTGAAAATAAGGGCTCAACTTTGAAGGATGTCTGAAGAGGATGGAAAAAGACAATATAAATCTATCACATTCCTTCACTCTGGTTCTTGTGATTTACTTTCTATCCCTTTCCTTTACTCCCTCCACAAATCTACACCAATGATCCAAAACACTAGAAATATTGAAACTGTCTTTGCAAAAACTGTTAACAGTGAGAAGATTATGACACTAAAAGAGATAGGATCTAACCAACTCCATCTTGCTTTTAACCTCCAAACTGCCCTTGGTCATTCCTGGGCGTGAGGCAAGCTAGCTTTGGGTGAAATTTAGTTTATAGTTTGAATGATAATAACCCTTCCCAAAACTAAACTCCTTTGTGAAACTAATTAAAGACCACCAGGCTCTTAGGAGGATGAGAGGGGCCTGAATTCTGCTAAGATGTAGGCATAATGAAATGATTATCCAGAGGTCACAAGATTTGCAACTTCCCCAATTAAATAACATCACCATTGTAGAACCCAAGATTGGCCTTTTGAGATGTCTTTTCAGGCCTCTGCTTTCTGACAACCAGATGGCCCCACCCAGACTAGGGACTCCTCTGTGGCTCCCACCCAAAATCGCACTCAGCACACAAGAGCCATTTTCCACAGCTCTGTGAGTGCATCCCCAACCAGTCAGCATTCCCCGTTCCCTACCCAACTGCCTGTCAAAGCCCTAGCCTCTGACATTCTCGGGAGGCTGACTTGAGTAATAAAACTTGTCTCCCATTTAGCTGGTTCTATGCGTATTAAATTCTTTCTCTATTGCAATTCGCCTGTCTTGACAAATTGGCTTTATCTAGGCAGTGGGCAAGATGAACCCACTGGGCAGTTACAGTAGCAAAAAATAGTTTTCTCCCAGCCAAGATTGTGTGTCTGCTAACAAGTTACTCAAACTGTTCCTGATGAGGTAGTTCACCTGTTCCTTCCCTTCTTCACTCACGTACCTAAGTCTTTTTCTTGTCCTTCCCTATCCTCAAGAAGCCTGGACTCATGTTCCCAATCGCTACCCTCAGGAGAGCACTAGTGTTGCATGCACTTCTTAATTAACTTCTTCATCACTATTATACCACACACACACAACGTAGATAAGTGGCTGTTTGGGTTTGCTGTATGTTTTTATTTTCCAGCATTCTTTTCCCACTTCTAATAGCAGCATCTTCTTCCTTTGTGAAAAAGTCCCTCTTGACCGGGCGTGGTGGCTCATACCTGTAATCCCAACAATTTGAGAGACTGAGGTGGGTGGCTCACAAGGTCAGGAGATCTAGACCATCCTGGCCAACAAGATGAAATTCCATCTCTACTAAAAAGACAAAAAAACTAGGTGGGCATGGTGGCACACGCCTGTAGTCCCAGCTACTCAGGAGGCTGAGGCAGGAGAAGTGTTTGAACCCAGGAGGCAGAGGTGGCAGTGAGCCAAGATCTCGCCATTGCACTCCAGCCTGAGCAACAAGAGCGAGACTATCTCAAAAATAAAGAAAGAAAGGAAGGAAGGAGGGAGGGAGGGAGAGAGGGGGAGAGAGAGAAAGAGAGAAAAAAAGAAAGGAAAGAAAGAAAGAGAAAGAAAAAGAAGAAAGAAAAGAAAAGAAAGAAAGATAGATTGGTTCTGGTGGGGATATTAATTACAATACCTGCCTCCCCAGAAGTGGGCATATGACACACAGCTAGGCCTATTAAAATTCTTTTCTGAAATTTTACGTGAGAAGTAGGGAAAGCTCTTAATTTTCTGGGAATTGCTAAATTGGCCAAATGTAAGACCAGAGTTGTCTGCAACTATGTCCCACTCTCTACTCCACTCTTCCGTCACAGGAGCCTGTTCACAAGAGGACAATATACTCGAGTCCTGAAAACATGTTTGGATCTCCAAGGCCAGTTTATGCAAGGCAATATTTTATTTTTTTGAGAGTTAATTTAAAAAATAGTTTTATATAATTAAAAATTAAACAAAAAATAACTTTTAAAAATAATTTTATTTATTTATTTTTTAATCTTTAGAGATGGAGTCTCACTCTGTTGCCCAGGCTGGTCTCAAACTCCTGAACTCAAGCAATCCTCCCACCTCAACCTCCCAAAGTGTTAGGATTAAAAGCATAAGCCACCATGCCCGACCTTAAAAATAATTTTAAATAGAGGCTAACTTTTGTATTTTTTGTAGAGATAGGGTTTCACTATGTTGCCCAGGCTGGTCTCAAACTCCTGTGCTCAAATGATCCTCCCACCTTGGCCTCCCAAAGTGCTGGGATTACAGGTGTGAGCCACTGCACCAGTGAAGGCAGTCTTTTTTTCATTAGTTTGTGTTGGTTTTTAACTACTTAAAACACAGATTAAAGCAGATCGTAATTTACATTTTCTACAGGAGCTGATACACCCTCACAACGTGGTATTAAAATGGATCCAGCATGCACAACAATATGAATATACTCAGGACTACTGAGCTGTACACTTAAAAATGGTTAAGATGGTAAATGTTTTTTAAAAAAGAAAATTTTTTATATTTTAAAAATGGATTTGGGTTCCCTTTTCTCAAAGAAGTTGAACTGCCTTCACTTAAATTCTCTTTACATTTCAGTGCTTCTAGAGATAGAGAAATCAAGGGCATTATTATTGTTAGTACTGCTTTTTAGCCAAAAAGAAACTGAGAGCGATGAAGTATCTTGCCTAAAGCATCACACAGGAGAACTCTAGGCAGCAAGGCCAGGACTAGAACCTGCACCCCTTGCCTTCATTATGTTCATCCTGTACCTTACCTGGCTGAAGAATAATTTAATAAATGCTCTTCTAACTTCAGGCAGAAGGCGGAACCTGCACCCCTCTGGACCCTTTTTGACCCCTTACATCCCACTCATCGTTAAATTTTAAAATGCTGTTCTCTGAAAATTTTATTTCACTCTAGCGATGGCCCAAACCCTGGGAAAAAAATGCAGCATGAGGATGGGGAGCCAAGTGGATAGGTTTTTCACTTAATAACTACTTATTGAGTACTCAGAACGCACTCGGTGCCAGGGTCAGGCACTGTGGATGAGTAGGGAGTGGACGAGACAGGGACGAGATAAGCAGGGTCAAGGCCAGGGGGTCCCGGGGCGCCGGCGCTTAGGCTCGGGGTGATCCGCGCGGTGGGAGCGGGGCATGGTGACCGCGGCGCGTCTGGGGAAGCCCGGCCTGAGGGAGGTCGCCTGTCCCACGGAGACGCCCATCGGAGTCGGACCCAAACGCCTCCGAGAAGGCTCTCAGCGGGGAGGGACTCCTCGGCTGTTGCAGGGCCCAGCCACTAGTCCCGCCGGCGGCAAGGAAGCGGAGGACTCACCGGATACCAGTACTCGGGACTCCACAAACTCCCTCAGCCTCCGGGCCGGAAGTCAGGGGCGCGATTCGCTCTGCCCACTACGCACGCCCCTGCGCAGGCCCGCAAGTCGAGCTGCTGGACTGCAGCTCCCGGGATGCACTGCGACGATATTGACAGAGGCAGCAGCCAATAGACGGTAGAGGATGCTCTTGACAGGAGGCGGGCCCTCTCGGTAGTTCCTCAGCAGCCAGTGGGCGTCTCCGCGGCGAGTGGAATCGACCCCGCCCCCAGCCCGTGCTCGCAGGTGCCGGGTCCCAAGTCCCGCGGTCCCGGGTTCCCAGAGAGGTGAGTCGGCTGCAGGTGGGTGCGGGGCGCTGGGCTGCTCGGAGTAGCGGTGTCGCAGTCGCCAGTCCGAGCTCGCACCGGCCGTGGAGTTCAGCTGCGCACCGGGTTGCGGCAGCTTCGCCAGGCCTGGGGCTGGCTGGGCCGCGGGGCCGCCCTGGAGGCCGGAGCCACCGGGCCTGCGGCGCCTGGGCAACGAGCAGCCGCTTCGCTCGTGTGCAGGAGTCTGTTCGCTACCTCACACCCCCGGGTGGTGCTGTGGCCTTGCTCAGCTCTACCGTTTAACACCCAGTGACATGCGCCAGGTCGGTTGCTGCCGTCATGCGGGAGAGTTGGGGCAAGCTACCTGTGACAGCTTGAACTTTTCCTAGGGATTCCGCTCCACCCGCCAGTTAGAGCGTATTGCTCATTAAACCCGAGACCTGTGTGCTTGCTACTGAAATAAAAGAAATATTTTTTCCCCAGAGTCCTTTTAGGATGTTATGAATTTTCTCCTTTGCAAGACTTCAAAAAACTGACAGGAAGACAAAACTCTTCCCACTCCCAGGGACCGCGTTGTCTTGAGTTTGGCTAGTAAAGGCTAGCAAGTGAGGCCTTGTCTCTGCATCCCGTTCTCCCTAACATCCTCAGAGAACCTTCGTTTTTGGAGTCTTTCTAGTATTCAGAGACTTCTCCAGGGTCATGATCCCAAAGGCTTAACACGTTTACAAGGAGAGAGTTGTCTCCTGACGCCCAAAATGGCGGCTAAAATGGAGATAACTTTAAGCTCCAACACTGAAGCTTCCTCCAAGCAAGAGAGACACATAATAGCCAAACTAGAAGAGAAACGGGGGCCTACTCTGCAAAAAAACTGCCCCGATCCTGAGCTCTGCCGCCAGAGCTTCAGACGCTTTTGTTATCAAGAGGTGTCTGGACCCCAAGAGGCACTCTCCCAGCTCCGACAGCTCTGCCGTCAGTGGCTGCAACCCGAGCTGCACACCAAGGAGCAGATTTTGGAGCTTCTGGTGATGGAGCAGTTTCTGACCATCCTGCCCCCAGAGATCCAGGCTCGGGTCAGGCATCGATGTCCAATGAGCAGCAAGGAGATTGTGACCCTCGTGGAAGATTTTCACAGAGCATCCAAGAAACCAAAGCAGTGGGTAAGGAGGGTCATCTCCCATCATCCTGGGGATTTCTTTTTCATCTAGGTAATGTTTGGTATCTGGATCTCTCCCTATTTAAGGACTGAGTCTCAGAAGTGGACTGGATGGCTTCAGAAGTTGCTTCCAGCCTCTGTCTGGGAACCTATCCCGAGTTGTTAAGAGGTTTTTAGAAAATCTAACTACTGATACCCAGTGAGGCAACAGAGGACCAAGGTTCTTGCCATTCCTTTATGCACCTTATGTCACCAGAAGTAAAAACTGTAAGGTTCTTGAATCCCTTCTGTCAGCTCTTCCCACACCATCTTAGTTTTCCTACAAGCAGAATTCTTAGCAGGCAGGGTCACCTTGTTTAGTAGCAGTTGGACTTTGAGGAACTTCATTTCATTGGAAGTTCTAGCTTATTGTTTTTTTTTTTTTTTTTGAGATGGAGTCTTGCTGTGTTGCCCTGGCTGGAGTGCAGTGGTGCCATATCAGGCCACTGCAACCCCCCCCCCCGGTTCAAGTGATTCTCAGGTCCTCAGCCTCCTGAGTAGCTGGGATTACAGGCACCTGCCTCCATGCCCGGCTAATTTTTGTATTTTTTAGTGAGAGGGTTTTCACCATGTTGGCCAGGCTAGTCTCGAACTCCTGACCTCAAGTGATCCACCCGCCTTGGCCTGTCAAAGTGCTGGGATTACAGGTGTGAGCCACCACACCTGGCCTAGCTTATTGTCTTTGATTTTTTTTTTTCTTTTTTTGAGACTGGGTCTCACTGTGTTGCTGAGGCTGGAGTTCAGTGGTGCGATCTCTGCTCGCTGCAGCCTCCACGTCCAGCTCAAGTGTTCCTCACACCTCAGCCTCTCAAGTAGTTGGGACTGCAGGTACATGCCACCATGCATGGCTAATTTTTGTACTTTTGTAGAGACAGGGTTTCTCCACATTGCCCAGGCTCTTGGGCTCAGGCAATCCACCTGTCTTGACCTCCCAAAATGCTGGGATTACAGGAGTGAGCCCCACAGTGCCTGACTAGCTTGTTGTCTTTGGATCAGGAAGTTACAGTTCAACTGGCCAGTGTTGCCATTGCTGGCCACTCCCCTCCCCGAAGTCGGACCCCAGTCAGGACCTAGGCAAGAAGCAAACAGCAGGTACTTCCGAAAATAGAACTTGTTAGGGAATGAGGGTAGGGTAGTCCTCTTAGACGCCTACTACTACTGGAATCTCCTTACCAGGAAAGCCTTTGGCAGAACAGTGTATTAGATAAGAAGAGTTTTTAACAGCCTCTCACCATACTGCTTCCTGTTCCTACAGGGCCTATTTCCAGCAGAAGTAGGTGGGGGGGCGCGTGGTGTGTAGAGTGGGCATCTGATGGTCCAGTGTCATGACTGACTCTGATATTTGTGCCAGCAGCTACCCTGACAACTTTGACTCTGGCCCTTGAGAAAGGCCCAAGCTTTAGGGGAAGCCACTCGGCTGACTTGTAGCATCCTCATTCCTGTCATTCTTCACATCCTTCCCTTTACTTCCTTTAAGGGTTTCAGTGGTTTCTATGAAAGCTGACCTCTAGATGGTTATCAGCAATTCCCAAGGTAAACAGGTCATTATACAACAGTGAGAGATCAAGCTTCCCTCAGTCCTGATGGATGGAATTAATGGGGCTTGTTCCTAGGTGGCCGTTTGTATGCAGGGGCAAAAGGTGCTCCTGGAGAAAACTGGATCTCAGCTTGGAGAACAGGAACTGCCAGACTTTCAACCGCAGACTCCTAGGAGAGATCTCAGGGAGAGCTCTCCAGCAGAACCTTCCCAGGCGGAAGCTTATGACCGGCTGAGCCCCCATCATTGGGAGAAATCCCCACTCCTCCAAGAACCAACCCCCAAATTGGCTGGGACAGGTAAACACTCTGCCTTTTCTCTCCCTCTCATCAGCCCTTTATCTCCATCAGTGTATCTCATGGTTCTGCAAAGGCATAGACCACATGTGTGTGTTTTTTAAAATGTTGTATATAATAGTAGATGATTATTCACTAAACAAATTTCACTAATTAGAATGGTGGTAATACTACAAATAAGTATGTTTTGTCATTTTCTGTTAATGAATATTTGACAATCCAGTGCATGACAGGGTTGTACCTACTTTTCTGTCGCTTTCAGAAATTCTTATAGAAAAGACAGATCCAAATATGGCCACAGATGAACTTCCATGCAAGCTATGGCTGAGTTTCATTGCTTAAAATGCTCCTCTGTTTAGAAAGGGCCTGGTAGAAAAAAAAAAAACTCACCCCATATCATATATCTTTGTCCTCCTCCGTGATGTTGCTTGTACTTTAAATCCTCAAATCTATTTCTCTTTCTCTGGTGTGATATTTGTGTAACTGCTGGCCTTGTTCTACACAGTCCTGTGATCTCTAAGCCTGAATGACAGTGACATTTTGGCCAAGCCTGGTGATGTGAATACAAGATACAATGAGCACGTTAGAGAGGAGAGTTACAAGAAGACAAAAATCCTTATTTTCTTAACATTTGCTACATTCAATGAGGTACTTTGTGTTTTAGCTGTTCAGGCTGCTAATATAGAATGCTAGAGACTAGGTAGTTTATAAACAACAGGAGTTTATTTCTTATAGTTCTAGAGGCTGGGAAGTCTGAGTTCAAGGTGCCAGCATGGTTGGGTTCCAGTGTGGCTCCTCTTCCAGGTCACAGACTGCCTACTTCTCAGTCCTCATGTGGCAGAAGGGGAAGACAGGCTCCTGTGGGGCTCTTTCATGAAGGCATTAATCCCATTCCAGTGAGGGCAGCACCCTCGTGACCTAATCACCTCCCAAAGGCCCCATGTCCTAACACTATTATCTTGGGAGTTATAATTTCATATGAATTTGGGGGGAACATAAACATTCAGCCCTTGGCAACCACAATCTACTTTTGTCTCTAGACTTGCTTATTCTGAACATTTTATATAAATGGAATCACACAGGCCGGGCACAGTGGCTTACGCCTGTAATCCCAGCACTTTGGGAGGCCGAGGCAGGCGGATCGCTTAGGCTCAGGAGTTCGAGACCAGCCTGGGCAACATGGCGAAATCCTATCTCTACAAAAAAATACAAAAATTAGGGGGGCATGGTGCTGTACACCTGTAATCCCAGCTTCTTGGGGGAGCTGAGGCAGGAGGATCACTTGAACCTGGGAGGTTGAGGCTGCAGTGAACTGAGATCGTGCCACTGCACTCCAGCCTGTGTGACAAAGACCCTGTCTCAAAAATAAATAAATAAATAAATAAATAAATAAATAAATAAATAAATTGAATCACACAATATGTGGTCTTTCGTGTGTGGCTTCTTTCACTGAGCATGTTTTCAAGTTTTATCCATGCTGTAGCATGAATCAGTGCTTCATTCCTTTTCTGTGGCTGAATAATAGGCATTATATGGATATATTACATGCTGGTTTTCTGTTCATGTTGGTTCATCTGTTCATAGACTTTTGGGTTGTCTCCACTTTTTGGTTATTATGAAGAATGCTGCTCTAAATGTGTGTGTTTTTGTGTAGACATGTTTTCATTTCTCTTGAGTATATACCTAGGAGTGGAATTACTATATGCTAGGTCATATGGTAATTCTATCTTTGACTTATGAGGAGCTA